GGAACACAATAGTGTCTCGGTGTACACATATATATATATATATATGTGTGTGTGTGTGTGTGTGTGTGTGTGTGTGTGCGCGCGCGCGCGCGCGCGCGCGCACATACACACGCACGCACGCACGCACGCACACGCCTCTGATTTAATCTAAATCAATACGATGTAATGTACAATGTCTTTTGTACATTCAATATTCTTAAGCTTTGTGAAAATTTATTGTACGCAAATTATATCCGATAGGCATCATTAACATACTCAAACGTCATAAACTTATGAATGAATCGATAAATATGTAAAAAATAAATATGTGAAAGATAACAATTAACAATAACATAAAGTATTACAAACATATACTTATTCTGAAAATAAAAGATGAAAGTTTTTTTCAAAGCTTTATATCGAGATAATAAAAAAGACAAAAAGTAAAATGATGTAAATACTCGGAGAGAAATATATGAATACACAATTTATATATTATCGCTAATATATAGATAGATTAAATCGCAAATCTTTATCTGACCTTGTTGCTTTTGAAATGCACTATTTTATTCCGTTGAATTTCCTTTATTTTGTAGTAATGCGATCAATTGTAAAAAGATATGTTTATAATGCTTCATGGACCAAGTGTTAGATATAAACAACATTAATTTTCTCAATACAAAAAATTTTCAGCACGTATTTTAAGAGATAAAAAATTCCGTCTTTTATTACTTTATCTAACGCGATAAACTTTTTATAATTGCAAAAAGAAAAATGAAAGATAGGACTTAAAAAAAGATTTATAAGTATTCGTAATAATAATAATAATTACCTTCATAACCTCCCTGAATTTGCCAATTTCCCGAGTAATCAAGTCTCTTTTACTTTCTTCTATTTCCGTTTCATCCAAATTTAAGGATTTAGCTACCATTTTTGTCTGATGTTCCTCTGTAACAACACATATAATAAGCAATTCACGTGTCCTATTTAATAAGATTTATAGCAACTAAGTGAATGAATATTTACCTGGAGCAACTTGTGCCATTTCTAGATCTGCAGCATGTTCAGCAATGATCTGATTAATACGTGTGAGTGCATCTGCATCGACCACTCTCATGCCTTCGTCCATATAATCTTCACCCTCTTCGCCGTCAGCTCCTTCACTGGGTGTTTCGTCTTGTAAAGGTGACTGTCCTCCTCTGAGTTTCTTCCTTCGTTCGGCTATAAAGCGAACAATTTGTTTTATCCAAATCTCCATTTTATTTGTTATTTTTTTATCTACCAAAAACTTACCTTTGAATTGATCCAGGACTACCTTAGCTTTAGCATCTACTTTGACAACGAGTTTTTTTGTGCCTATTTCCATGTCATGGAGCAATCGGACTGCCCTGAGGCCTGCATCAGGGCCTGCATATTCGCAAAAACCGAATGCTTGTACTCTCTTCCAAGAAAGAACATGCCCACATGCGCCCAGAATATGTCGTATCATCACATCGGGCGCTCTGTCCATTATGTTACCAATAAATACTGTGACAGGTGGGCCAGACTCTCTCTCGCGTCTTCGATTATTATCGTGGCGATTCTGATTTCGCGAGTAACGTACAGCCGGCGCGGATGTCTGCATCGCAGATACGGGTGATGGAATCATCTATGTTTTATAAATGGTAGGATTCTTAATTATGCACATATCTACTCATGCACTCCGTATTTCCCCTCCCTCTCTAATTGCATGATTAATTGATTTTCTTCTTTTCAATTAACTTAAGCATATCGCTACAAAATATTCAAGTTATTCATTCCGCTCTGCGTATTACATGCATTAAATAAATTTAAAGATAACTTTTCTTTTTGTATACATATATACTGCACACAAAGCTGCTTGTAAATTCATTTCAAAAGATGTTTGTTTCTGGATGCTTGAAACTACTCTATGATGCAATTTATTCCTGACATATTGTATGTATCAGTAATATAAATAATGATGATATATATGCGTGCTTTACATGTAGAATACAACATATGTATTAATACTACTTTCATAGTTTCATTATATGTGCATATTGTATTGTGTATTGTGTTATGGAATTGATGCTGTCATGTATATCTTATAGATTATAATATCAAAAGAAATTTTTCAGCTATAGCAAAAGCAAAAATTACTACATACAAATTAGTTTTAACTCATGTGTGAATAAAATGTACATTATAGATAATCAAAAACATATCATGCCTGAATGTGATAAGTTTACTTACATGGGCCATAGGCATAACTCCTGTTATAATCGGTGGAGGTGCACTCATGTATGGCATCGAAGGTATCCCAGGCATCCCAGGGATACCCATAGGTGGCTGACCAGGATACGACATGATTGTGACAAATTGATACCGTAGCAATGAATACTCTACAACAATAAGTTATATAAATATTAAGCAAACGAAATTAATAAAAATTAATTTTATTTTATAATTGAGTGAATATTAATGAATAATCTTATAGAATAATCATAATTATAAAGAATACTTTATTGTTATTAATCTTTGCACAATGGCAAAAGCTATTACAATGATGCTAAAACAACATTATATTTTAAGGCAAAAATATAACAAAATAATACATTATAATAAATCTTACTCAAGCTGTAAACTTTTAGAAAATGTTGTAAAGGACATAAATTATTATTATTATTATTATTATTATTATTAAAGCAAATTAATTCTGAGTTTAACACTTTTTACTGAGTTTAACGAAACATGACTCGATAAATTGATAAAATTATATATAAAAAATTGAATTTTAATAAGATATCTTATTAAGTCTCTATCGGGTACATACAATATTAATTATACAAGGAAAAATATTGGATATATCATTGCTTACAAAATGAAGTTTCTAGAGATATCAGTATTAAAATATAGATTTAACATCTATTTATGCTTATGAAACTGAGAAATCACGAGGTACGACATCTACGACAATGATCCAGTTTAATTCTTACCATATGTAACAGTACTCAAATAATAAATACAAATAGCTAGAAAAAGTCACAGTACACACGGAAGTGATCAATTTATGAATAAAACCGGTGAAACCTGGACAAAAAGCGAGTTCACGTGCGTACTGTATGCATGCGATAATAAAATACACATTTTCTTTTTTCTCTCTCATTCTCTCTCTCTCTCTCTCTCTCTCTCTCTCTCTCTCTCCCACACACAACTATCTCTCATACACACACACACACACACACTTCTTTCTCCCTTCTTTCTTTACAATCTCAATGCTCTATGGTTCAGTTTATGCTAGTAATATCTCCGAATAAATTTCACAAAATCGAACGAAATCATACAAACGAAATATGCTACGCAAAAAAAAACTCTTGTAATCGTTATTAATCAACGTGTTGCAAAAGCGTACTTTGGAGGCCGACATGAACGCCCGAGACAGGGAGACGTCAATGATGAATTTTAACCACTAAATTAACACGGGGAGGAATCGTTAGGATCATATACTCACATGAGAAAGCGTGGAACAAAGTTATAGGCTATCGCGCTTGATATCTACGAGTCATTTCGATAAAGCCGTCGAATCGAGATGCAGATCCTCACTTGGAAACCCTCGGAAACGCGGCAAAATACCACCTCGATCTTTAGCACAATTGATACGATACAATTGCGGTATTACACCAGAGCGACCATGACATATGTGTGTAGTGTAGAGTTGTTTCCCGATGCCTTCGATCCGATTAGAGTCGGGCGATCAGCTAGTGCTGCCAGCTAGTTAATTCCAGAAATCCTCTAATCAGAGTCTGATCATCACCGTAGTGATTCGCGCCTATTGGCTAAATCAAGAATAACATGGCGGAACCAATTACTACAAAATTCAGGCTAATTCAAATAAAAAAGATATATACAATAAATCACGAAACAACTTTAAGTGTAAATTTTTTATTCTTCTACAACATTAATTTTCTAAAATTTCAATACATATTAAGATAAAAATAAGTTTATAAATATTTCATTATCACAGACAAATTATTTAATTACAAAATGCATTTTGTTATTGTTTTGCTTGCTTGTTGTCTATTACAATTTTGAATCGACCTTTTTGACATGCGATGAGATACGATAGTCTATAAAATACGATAGTCTTCTTTATTCTTTTAAATAGTTGGTGTTAAAAAGTAAAATAAAAAATAAAATGCAATAAGTATTCAATTTTCACCCCCCGCCCCTTCCCCCACACACACACACATACACACACACAAATCATTATAAATAATATTTAATACTGTCTATATAATCTTACTTTATATAATATGAATCATTTTTTTTAGGAATTCCAATCTTTTTATTAATTTTTTTCAATTCATAATAATAATTTTAATAATAATATTCTTGTAGAATCGATCGATTATTATATATATATTGTAACAAGATGAAAATTACATCAATATATCTACAGGCTAGAATTGGTTCTTACATTTGAAGCTGCTTAAGGTACAGTCTTAAGAAGTCATAAGCCAATCAAAGAGCTGTATTAGCTAGCTGTATTGTAAGATACTTAAGACTTAAGACAGTCTTAAAGTGCACCACCTTAGTGAATTTTGCTCACTTTTGCTCAATTTTCTTATTCCAAGATACACAATTGATCTCCAGAGTGAGATTTGCTCTAAAAGTTTCAAAGAGTATTTGTAACTTTGATTTTTTGTGAAATTTCTTCTTATTCCTTCCTCGCCGCAATAATGTCAGCGACAATGTGAAGTGACGTCGCAGGCGATGGACAGGACTGAACAGCAGTAACGTCGGTGACGCCGGTGACGCGATACGGCACTGCGATGGCGATCCAGTACTGAGTACAAGATGGTCGACGTGCCTTTGACCGTGTTGGTGTCGCTAACGGTAGGCCTGTCGACGCGAGACCAGCGAAACTGTGTTACCCCGCGTCACTGAACGAGTTACGAGCCCCGCCGTGCCGCCGTACCCGGAGACACAAAGACGCACCCCGGCTTCGGGGACGCCGACGTATGCGACGTTGCTAAATGGCTATCGTGGGATAAGAGGTACGTGTACTTGGGTATGTATCCCGCGGGTGCGGGAAATGGGAATCGCGTGGGAGTCGGGACGCGCGATCGACTCATCAACGATGGATCACGATCCACCTGTCAACGATCTACCTGGCGCGCACAAAGTGTGCGCGCGCGCACGCGCATGGACGGGTGTCCGTAAATGAATTTCTCCTCGCGAGCCACGGCTTGGACTTTCTTTCTTTTCTCATTATATTATTTTTTTAAATTCGCAAGCGGTACTTGAACCTCTATCTGTGATCGCGAGAGAAGTAGAGAACACGGAAGAGGAGAATTTACGGATTTCTATGGCGCTCCGACGGAGCGCCTGTCGCGTCGCGCCTCGATCTCTGCTTACTCGTCGTACGCGTTTCTTAAACCGTTTCTTTTCGACTGTTGCAGTCCGTGCAGTCTTCGAGAAGTGTGAGGTGCGGCCCGAAGATACGCTCGAAAGAGACGTGACAAACGATGGAGAAGCGGCAGGAGGTGATCGCCCCGTTTTCCTCCGGTGAGTCGCCTCTCGGCTTTCTCTCTGTCTGTCATAAGAGGATGCGTGGATGGGTGTTTGTTGTGTAGGCGTAAATGTAGCATAGGTACGCGGCATGTTTGCCGCGAGCCAAACATTTATTTATATCTTATATGTATCGTTTATTGACTGACATACAATGTATGATCAAAACATATTGAAACCTATCAATTTTAATATCGAATATTTCCGAAGAATGAGAGAGAAATTGACTGTTGTGTGTGCGTGCGTGCGTGCGTGTGCGTGTGTGCGCGCGCGCGCGCGCGCGCGTGTGTGTGTGTGTGTGTGTGTCAAAAAGTTAGAATGTTAAATTCTTGAAAAATATCTCGTATGAAAGTGTAAAATACTGAGGAAAATACTGATGAAAGTATCATATTACATATATTATATATTTTCCTAATATTTTCGTTTGTGATATATTTCAAGAATAAGATGTCTGAAATTTTATTTATGAGGAAAAAATATTTACTTTATTATCTTAAAATTCTAAAAAGTGATTTACATTTTAAACACTGATAAGGATAATTTAGTGATTACATAATCACTATCACAGTCTTAAAATACAATACGTACATGATGTCCTTTGTTAAAACATCTCTTATCAAGGAATAAATAAATATTATTGAATATAAATAAAATAGGAAAAAATGTATGTTATTTTATTTTAGAAAATAAATTAACAAAGATTTTATTATATGAACATTATAATGAACGTTGCATACATAAATATAAAAGGAAGGAACGTCGTAATGTGTGTATTGGGGTGAGATACATTTTACGTACCAGTAAGCTTGATGTGTCTTGTGTAGTACATACACGTATATGTATCTATCATTGCTATTTATGTTGGACAGAAACAAAAGAATATTCTTGAGGTAATCAATACCTCAAAGTGAAGAGAGAGAGAGAGAGAGAGAGAGAGAGAGAGAGAGAGAGAGAGAGAGAGAGAGAGAGAGAAGTTATACTTTAAAATGTATGAAACACACATATTATATTTTGTTATTTTTTATTTCATGAATAAATATTTAGGAAGGCCTATATTAAAATAATGAAAACAATAAATTAAAAAAACTAAATTGAGAAAAACAAGAGAGTCATTAAGTGTAATTATATTCGTACATCACTAATCAGCATGCTTTTATATTTTTTGAAAATATTTTAGGGATTGTTTAAACAACTGTAATAAAAAGTTCAGTTTGTTAAAATTGTCCATATTATGCTTTGGCACGTCTGAGCAAAGTCAGCATCCTGCTGAGAGATCTAATTTGCGAATTCTCATCGGCGTTTAGCCTCGTTAAAACAAGATTAACGTTAAATGGCGTGGTAATGCGTTTACAATGATAACCTGTTAAACAAAAATTCAACTTCGTGAGTATCTGATAATGGCAATAATATCAATTTTGTACTTGACGTTTAACGTAACGAAAGTATAATACAGTTAGTTTTTCCGCAGCGCGATCGATTACATGCTGTCATACGCTTTTACGAAGAAAAGAATAGAAACGGAAAACGGAGGAATGCGAACATTGTGATGCCACTTGAAAGCTAAGAGATGCCGAAACTTTCTCCAGAAGCGCGGAAATCCGTGTGCCATTATTTCTTGCTTATACATATAGTGAGCAACGGAATTCCGTACATCGTCACCCACAAAATAATTATCGTCGAGTGCCGTAAAGTTTCCACGTGCAGACCAACACAAGTAACGCTGTATCGAATATTCTCACGATGAAGGAACGATCGTTACGGGCTACTTCAGTGAAAATCATTACCGCCGGAATATTTAATAACGCTGATAATATCGACTCAGAGTCACTGCGGCCTACATTCAAATGCCAGCTGGAGCAACACAATCATGTCTCTCTGTGACGTCCCTCTGGTAACCGATATCATTGAAGGGTTGTTGTTTGTAACACTGATTACTACTATGATGAAACCCTTCCGTAGTAAAATGATTGATAGGAGGAAAAGGCAAGATAACCACATTGGAGAATAGTAAGACAAACGGAAAGAATTGTTGAAAAGTAAATTAATGAAGTATTTTATTGCGTTGCTAGAAGCGCATTGCTTAAATATCTAGAGCTTGAATAAGAGCTTAAATGAATAATTAATATTCATTTTAAGTAGAGATTTTATTTTAATGCAATCTTAATGTATAAAGCTTAGTTATTTAAAAGATATTTAGGAGCTACAAAATGAGCCTAATTAAAATTTCGATAAAATATTTGGTATTAGCTATATTAGTTTTCTAATAGATATAAAAAGCTGTTGAAAAAGAGAATAACTAAACTAATAAATATTTTTCTATTATTAAATAGTAATAGATACATAATAATTTTTTATGGTATATATTTATATGATATTTCAAAGAGATGATATAAAAGGTTTCAATATAAAATTGCATTTTATTAAAACTGGTTTTTATGTGGTTTGATTTATAAGAAATTGAAGATTGGTGAACTCTAATAAATTTAGATTTATATTACAAATAGAAAACACAAAACATATTCTCTAATTATGTCTATAATTATGTATATAATTCGCTATTTTGTTAATTTAATTCAACATGATTTTCACTTAATTATCATAGTATTTCATCCTTTTCTAGCTTCATTTTTAGAAAGTTAGAAATCAATTTAAATCAAAGTTATAGCAATACTGATGAAATTATCAATGTCATGTGTGTTGCTTAAAAAGACACTCGGTTTAAATTCTCAACAATTCTCAAAAGAGAAGACGGCCAGAAAAATTATCCGAGAATAGAAGATTATCTACGGAAACGTGTGAAAAGTTGTGTGGGAAATATATCTGGAAGTAGCTGGTAGCTAAAGATTCATATCGAGCCACTTGGTGACATGCTCAGGGTGGAAAGATACAAATCTAACAAACACACAGTGCTGATGTTGATGGCGCGAGCGGTGCGGCGGTGGTGGTAATAGCGGTGGTGGAGGAAAAGTGAGTTGAAGGTTGGCGGTGGTGATGGCGACGGGTTACAGGGTCGCGGGGGTGTAGCGGAGGCAGCGGAGTGATGCGCGCGGACCACTGGATCAATTCTCGCTCCGGGAGCTACACAGAGGGAAAAGC